CCAATGGGAGCTACATCTGGATGCTTTGTGTGTGATGGTAAAAGTTCTTTCCCATGTGTGGGGTTGTATTGGTTGGGAGAGGATTTTTTTCCCAATTGGATAAGGAAGTGGATTGAAGGGAAAACAGTGGACTGGTTATTAGCTTGTAAAAAGTCGATATATTCTTAGGGTATTGTGGTTTGGTGAGAAAAAGATATGCGGTTGTGGGGACTTTCAGAAAAAGGGGAATATTCATCTTTTGTAAGGAGTGAGCTATTCTCAAGTATGTAAAAATGTCTTTGTTAGGAAGGTGAAATTTCTGTTGGATAGTTGGAAAGGAGTCTAGTTTGTATTTTGTGTAGAGGTCTTGTATATGGGATATATCTTGTTTTTCCCAGTGTAGAAGGTTCAAAGAAGGGGTGAAAAAATGTAGTACGGTGATTGGGGTGGGAATTACCTTTGATTCTGAGGAGGTCGATGATAAAAGGTTATACCAGGCTTGTGTGGAAGCTTGGATGCAAGGGTGTTTGTGTAGGTTTCTGGATTGGGAAGATTGTGGTAAAAACAGAATGTCGCGTGGCATTGGCAGAAGGTGTGGGAGTGTTTCCATAGTAGTCCACATTTTTTCGATAGTTGGATGCCACCAGAAGTAGATTTGTCAAAGGTTCTCTATAATTTAGGGGCCCTTGTATAAGAGCTGGAGGTTAGGCAACTGCTAGGGTCTCTTCCTGCTAACCTGGGCACTGCTTCTAGGACTGATGAGAAGTACAAAGTGTCTCATAATGCCTTCAACTGTTATGTTTTATGTAATACCCAGACGGTGTTGGGCAGTAAGTTTTGAATAGCTGAAGGCTATGCCACTTGGGCAGGCTGTGAAGAAGGTATTTGCTGTCATCCTAATATTTTAGGGGGTTTGTTCTGCGTCCTTTTCTCTGCTGTTTGGCCACCACCTCCCCCCCTGTAGCCATTGCCTATGCCCTTCTATAGTGTGTCTCACCCCCTGGACTAGGGGCATTCCATTCATATAGAACTTTTTTGGCATTTACCTTGATGTAACCTTTGTCCTTTGCTTGGTGCTATAAGAAAGTGTCCTAGTTTTGTTTACGAATTTACATATCTTGATCATCATCTTTTCCCATGTGAAATATAATAGTTTTTTTTCTGTATGAGTATGTCTGTTTTGGTACCGATAAATTAGAAATATTTGTATCTTTTTTGTGCATCTATTTTCATCCCAGAGTGCTATAATTCAAAATCCCTCTACACCCATCCTTTTTATTTTTTTTGGTTGAAATACTGATATAATATGGATGGGCTGCATCGTGGAATACCTAGTGTCTGTAAACTCCACCATTTGCAAAAACTTCAGTGAAAAATCATATCATCAGACTGGCAGTGCTGTCTGACAGAGCTGAATAAATCTCAGGATTGGATGGACAAATATGTAAACAGTAATAATTTGTCAGGTAAAATAGCTCTATAAAATGTATTTCAATGGTTTTCCTGGAGTTGATCTTTACCTGTTACAAACCTGGGCATTGCAAATAAACATATAATAAAATGATGTAAGCAGATGTTACTAATGACATTTGTCAAAATGATCCACAGATGCAGTTGGCCGAAATTATACCTCAGTTTTACAAAATGAGCTTGGTTTTGCTTTGTGTTGGTTGGTCCTTAAATGTAATGGCCAGCATCCCTGACCAATTGAGAGGTATTAGAAGTCAGGGGGGGCAGTGTCAAGCATGACTTTTTATTTATTTCAGGTACTTATATAGTGCCATCAATTTACGCAGCGCTTTACATATATATTATACATTCACATCAGTCCCTAAGCCTCAAGGGGCGTACAATCTAAGGTCCCTAACTCACATTCATACATACACATAGTAGGGCTAATTTAGACAGGAGCCAATGAACCTACCAGCATATCTTTGGAGTGTGGGAGGAAACCGGTGTACCCTGAGGAAACCCACGTAAGCACAGGGAGAACATGCAAACTCCAGGCAGGTGGTGCCATGGTTGGGATTCGAACCAGTGATCCGACTGCCAGGCAGAAATGCTAACCATTTAGCCACTGTGCTGCCCTGTTTTGCAAGAAAAGTTGAGATTTGCAGGTCATTTCAGCTTCTGAGATGTTTGGATTTGTGGTCATTTTGCCATGCAGTTTTCAGCATTTTGTAATTTTTTTTTCTAGCATATTCTTGCTTTGCAATGCCCACATAAATTTTTAATTACTATTCAAGTGTCTTATTTTGTAAATTTAAACGGTGTTCATGCAGTTTTGCTTCATTTGAAGCAAATCACTACAATATATTTGTAATGTGTTTATTATTTACTACTATTATTATAATAATACTAGATTTACGTAGCGCCAACAGTTTGCGCTTTACAATGTGTTTGGCCAGATTTACAGAGAACAAGTAGATTTTTTTTCTTGCTTTTTTGTTCAATGAATGGTGAGTATTTGAGTATTTTTCTTTCCTTTAGCTAGTGGGCTGAACAAATCCCCAACAGGACACTGTTTTGACAATTAATATACAGGATTAATGAGACCGCAGCACAAAGTAATATTACTTTTGTCAAGAAAGTGTTTCTAGTGCTGGTGGTTTCTGCTTTCAGAAAACCCTCTGATTTCCCCCCCTCCCCCCCACAACTCTGCAAGGGGTGGGATGAATGTAGCTGAGGGACCCAACCTATGTACTCATTAAGATTGCTGACTATACCTGCCTTTTCCACCTCCCTCCTCCATTCATAGCTGTACTAGAGCTTAAATGAAAAGTGATTTGTGATTGGAGTACATGCGGATGAATAAAAGGTCCATTCATGGAGCAGTTTTCATTCATAGAAGCGATGGTACAGCTTTTATGAATGAATGGATGGGGAGGGGCAGAAAGGGCAGTCATAGTTGGTACTCTTGATGGATGCATATGATGGGTCCTTTGTGTTTTATTAACCACAGAGATCTGTGTTGTATAAACACAGATCTCTCCCCTGTCAACTCCTGCACACTGCTTTGTATGGCACTGCATAGCAGAGCCATACAAAGCAGGGTGCTTACAGTGAAGCACACAGAGAACCCACATAGTGAAAACCGCACACAGTAAACATGCCCAGTGCATTAGTACAGTGTCGGTGAACTTTTATTAGCACTGATCACTATATTGGTGCCTGGGGATGTCGGTGGCAGTTAGTTCCCCCCCAGTGTCAGAATGCCCCCCCCGCAGTCCCGCTAAAAGTTCGCTGATGCGACGCGCCATTACTAAGTAAAAAAAAAAAAAAACTTAGTTATCCGCCATTTGTAGATATTTTCACGGTAAACCAATTAATTTACACTTATTGGGACTTTTTTTTAACAAAAACATATAGCAGAATAGATTTTGGTCTAAATTTGTGACGAAATTTGATTTTTTTTTTTTAAAAAAAATTTTTACTGGATAGCAAAAAGTTAAAAATATTGTTTTTTTTTTTTTTTTTTTTTTTTTTTTTTTTTTCTCGATTGTCAGTCTCTTTTTTTGTTTCTAGCGCAAAAAATAACCACACAGGCAATCAAGTACCACAGAAAGAATGCTCTATTTGTGGGGAAAAAGGATGTAAATTTCATTTGGGTGCAGTGTTGCATGACCGCGCAGTTGTCAGTTAAAATAACGCAGCGCCGTATCGCAAAAAATGGCTTGGGGGGGGGGGGGGTAAATCCTTGGAGGGCAAGTGGTTAAAGTGGAAGTAAACTCTCATATATTTTATCTACAGGTAATCTTATAATAAAGCTTTCCTGTAGGTAAAACGAGTCTCCTAAATGAACCGTTTAGGAGATACCCTATAGCGAGCAGCGGCTGGTGATGACATCGACGCATGCATTCTGAAGGATGGTATATACCCCCTGTTGCCATTCCTTCAGAGCTGTGTGCCACGGCTGAGACTTCTGCGCATGTGTGGGAGTGATGTCATTGCAGCTCAGCCAATCAAGCGAACCGCAACCTGCAAACCCGGAAGGAGGACTGGGTGAAGATGGAAGGCTCTACTGTGGTGATAGAGCACCGCTAAAGGGCTTCGATTTAAGGTAAGTCCTTCATAATGTGATAGTATGCGATGCATATTATGCATTTGCCGTGCAGGGGAAATCATCTTTTGGTACCAGAAGATTACAGGGGTGGAGGGGGGGATCGGAGGTTTTAGTAAAACCGCATCACAAGGAACACATTGCATTGACTGTAAGTATTGTTCCTTGTGCTGATTTTTTTTTAAAAAAAAACATTTTTAAATTTGCACTTTATTAAAATGTAACCTCTTTCTTGGACAAAAGAGTAACAAATAAATGGGGAGAAAAAAAAACGTGTATTATCTGTAAAGCTGGCCAAACACGACACCTATATTGTGGTGTTTTATTTCAAACAGAGCAAAACTGCATAAATATAGTTTATTATAATAATAATAATAATAATAAAAAAAAATAGGACCCTTGAATGGTAATTAAAGTATATGTGGATATTGCACAGCAAGAACATGCATGAAAATGGATAAGCGGATGTCGTCTCCTTTGAAAACTGCTTGGGCTTTTCTTTGAACTTATATATTGATCAGTTTTTTCTACCTTTTGGCATATTGTGTAATGCAAATGTGGTTTCAAAGAAATGTTTTTATTAAGTGGCTTTTTGTGTTTCATAATGGTAATAGACTGTATCTTGTTAATGTCAGGTTCACATTTAAATCTCCAGCATCACCCAGAACCAGAAATATCAGCTTGGATGCACTGACCCTGTAAAGAGGCTTATCCTAGTGAAGCGGATTGTATAATGAAGTGCGCTGGTCCAGGCTGCATGGATTCAGGGGATGGAGGAAGGAGGCAGTTAACCGATGGCCCTCTTGTGCATAGGATATCATTACAATTTGTTCCTGGCTTCCAGCGCATTGCAGGGTGTTCCTGTCTGCTTCACTTCCTCCCACAGCCTTTACTGTGGGCTGGAATAGCAGGAATTCAGTGAGTCAGAGGCTCTGGCCCTGGGTTGAAGCTGTGAGCATCCATGTGTGTCTCTAATGTGAGTGTCTTTCCTATGGCTGCAGCTGCCGCAGGCTCCGGGGCCCATTTATCATTCTGTCCCCTTGTTATTGCAGTTCCACAGAGCCCCGCTCACCATGTCTGAGGGCTGGGAGGACTGGCCACTGCTGGGCCCGGGCTGGAAACGGAGGACAGCCGTCCGTAAATCGGGACAGTCTTGTGGACACTCAGACACTTATTATCAAAGGTAGGTTTGGATGTGAACTAAAGGCAACTGCCCTGAGGTGTTGCAAAATGACAGATAATCAGCTTGAGTCCTGCCTGGCTGATTCAAGCTATTGATTATTTTGTATTGCGTTACATGACGCATGCTAGAATAATGCAAAGTTTAATTCAACGAAAGTGACATTACAATTAAAATAGGAGAACTGTAGCGTATCCATTATTATTTTTTTTTTATTTTTTTTTTAGTGAATTTTGCGTTTATAAAGTTCATCATCTTTATGTGACTTACAATTAAATACAAACTGTTCCATAATTTCACAGTTGCCTATGGTTAACAGATTTCAGATACTTTCTCCAGCATCGCTGTGAATGGCGGACACTGCATTTAGTGATCCTACTATATAACTGCTGGAAGAGCACTAGAGCATGCATTGTTTTCAATCACTGTGCCGGTTTTCTACAAAGACAATCCTGCATATGTAATGAGCAAATATGGCTGCCTCCATTCACGTATTTAATTGTACTATTGTGCTCTCTAAAGAGTACTTTTCAGCTGAACGTACTATAAAAGTGTGTTTTAAAATGCCACAATCCTGACCTTGAGTGGTGGTTATTGCCCCTTATTGTATGGTTCACTACTTGAAGTTGCAATTTACGCACTCTGTAAAGTACCCTAATAAATATATATATATATAATATAATTTTTTTTTTTTTTTTTTTTTAATCCTGGGTTTGTAGCACTAATATTTTACATGGCAGAGACCGTCTGAATAGAATGGTAATCTGTTTGGGAAGCATACATAACCTGCAAGATTTATAGCTGATGCATGGCTAGAGGAGTGCTGGGGAAGCTGTTTATCAAAAGATAGGAGTCTGGGGCTGAATTGCATCTAAAAACATACTGACCTCTGTTGTAAAAATGCTAGTTGCCTGACTGTCTTTTACTTTATGAATTGGAGACCTGGCACAAGCATGCAAGTTGGGAAAGTTTGAGAATGAGAAGATACTGAATCAAAGCAAGATTAGATTACTGACATTTTAAAGAGGCTGGTAATGGTGGTTTCCATGTAATTTTTGTAATTGGTTTCTTATAAACCTTTTTGTGTGTCTCTAACCATTTAAAAGCTTGAGACCATCAAAAATAATTTGTCTACTGAGGAACTTAAACTGGTTCTAAAGGAAGAAGGTTTTTTAAGACCACCTTTTAGAATCACTTTAAGGCTCCATGCACACTATCATTTTTTTAAGCTCCTAAATAGTTATTAGCTCTTTTTTCTGCTCCTAGAAGCTACATAGTGTTATTCTATGTGTCCATGCACACTACTTTGGGCTATTAGCATTTTTTGAGTTTCAGTGTCTAGGAGCAGAAATAAAATTGTTTTTGTAAAGTTTTTTGAGCGTTTTTCCAGCAGAAAAAAATTAAAATGCTCCTAACAGCTTTTCTCTAGTTTTTTTTCTCTACATGTACTGTAAAAACACTAATGCTCCTAACCCGTTATTAAAAAAACGCTATTACCAGCATTTTTTTATCCAGCGTTTTTTTGAGCTTTAAAAAAAAAAAAGACAAAAAAAAATGTCAGTACATGGAGCCTAAGAGATGTAGTAATGACAGATGACTGTTTTATTTGCAGCTGCCTGGTTGTCTATGACTACTACCTCTCCTGTGAATCTCAATGGACAATAAAGGAAACAAAAACAACTTTTGATCTTAAACATATAATACAGCACACGGGTAACTTATTTATACACCATGGCTCCTATAACTGAAGGTTTTTGATTAAGTTGCCTGTGCCCTATACTATACTCCAAAATATAGACGTTAGAGATAAGTCCAAGTTTCTCTTTTTGTACTTACCATAAAATCTTTTTCTTGGACTTTATTGGGGACACAGAAGACCCCCAATAAAATAATTAGTAATTATAGATGACAAATGAGTTGTTTAATTGACCACTCATGTAGCAAAGTCTACATCCTGAAAGATGCATTATTTTTATAGTAAAAAAGACATTGAGTCCAGCATTAGACTAACTTTATACAGATACTGCTTGTGAGTGCCGGTTCACATATATGCGGATTGGATGCAGTTTGAACTGCATCCAATCCGCACGACGTGAAAAAACATTGCTTCCTGTGGTGCCTGTTCACATGTGTCCGGTGCACTTGCGGTGCGTATTCAGCATGGTTTGAAAAAGAGTCATGTACAATTTCTGAGCAGTGCCTTCAGGTTCAGGTGCAGATTATAGGCTATTGACTTCTGTAGGAACCGTTTCTAAATGGCATATCTGTGAACAGGATTAGATCCTGAGCTAATCCTGTCCTTAACCTGATGTAAACCTGACATGAACTGGTGAACAACTATTGTATCAAGTAGCTTTGAAACCTGAGTTTCAATCCGCACAGCACATGTGTGAATCAGTTGTGAATTCCTAACATTTTCTGTTTCTGTTATGTAAAATTTCTGGCATTACTTATCTTCTGCTTCTTGTTCGCTAGTCCCACTGGTCAGCGTTTTCGTAGCAAGCCTGAGCTGTCCAAGTTCTTAGGAGAATCCGTGGACCTGTCATGCTTTAATTTCAAGCACGGAACCCTAATACCACTAGAGAAGGTAGGTGATGTGTCTCCTGGCATGTAGAAGGGGTTACTGTTAAGCAGGCCATAGATTGTGATTTTCTTTCACTGCAGTACAGGTGGAAAACACTGACTGACCGCTTGATGGAGGAATCCCTATCGTAGTGCTATTGTGTTCTGCTGGCAGGGAGCCTTCCTGACCTGTAGGACACAATGATTACTGCTAGTGTGGCTATGGCAGAAATCCATGTAAAAATTCCAACATGAGTAAGGCCGTTATGGCAGAAACAAGTTGACTTTTTGTGCTGTATACTCCAATGACTTACTAAAGCTGATGGCTTGCTGCTCTTAACTTTGATGCCATCGATCTTCCTTTCTTCAGTTCCTCAGCGGACTGCAATTCATGCTTGAACACTGGCCATTCAGCTGTTAATGTTTAAATAAGGAGGTAGAAGCGCTGCTTTTTGTTTTTTAAACATAATCCGACAGGCTGGTTGTACCAATTGATGGATCAACTTTGGTACAACCAGCCTGCCTATAGATATATCAAATCTCGTCCAATCCCTGCTGGCCTTTACAGTGTGTCCACTAATTACATTTCTGTTTTTAGAGAAAGAAGAATAAGAAAAAGAAGAAGAAGGCAACGCCAACATCCCCGGGGGCATCAACTTCTCCAGGGTCCCCAACATCTCCAGTGCATTTTGAGAAATCTCTGTCCTTTCCTCTTCAATCCTCTGATGAACACCAGCAAAATGGGGGGGATGTAAAGTCAATGAAAGCGTAAGTTGCTTCAGTGGGATGAAACTTTTCAAATGTACTTCTTGTATGACCAGGGTAGAAGAAGCCTCATACAGCAGAAGTGTTACTCTATCACTGTGAAATGAGACTGCATGTTATTTAGCTCTCAAAGGAAAAAACATTTGTAATTTTTTTATTTATATTTTTTTAACCTCCTTGGCGGTATGATTCTTTCTGATTTTTGGTGCTGAAAGCGGTACCATTTTTTTTGCATGGAAATATGTAGTTTTTTATTATAGGCCTGTAATTCTTAGGAATAACTCACTGAAATCTGTCCGAACAAGAGTCTAGTAAACATCCCGGGTAGGATAAAATTTGAAACACGAAATCATAAATTATAATTTAATAAATAATCATAAAAAATAATAATATAATAATACATTTAATTCAATAATATAATCAAACCAAAAACACTGAAATGTGAAATAGAGCTCCAAGTTAGCACATTGCTGAGCAAAGTCGCAAAATCGTTTTCAGTGTCTGATGACGAATTTCTCCACGAATCATTATCACTCAATTCTGCAAGTGGTTCTGATTTACTATCGCTGTTCTCCTAGCTGATCTAAACCGCTTTTGACCTAAAGGGACACTTTTTGGATGCCATGGACATTTCTCAGTTTCCAGGCAGAAAGAACAGACAAAATGCAGGCAGGGCGCAGGACAAAGCATTAGGGACAAGATGTATGTGAAATTGGTTGAGACAGCAATGTTTTACTATGTAAAATGTAAAAAAAAAGGACATTTTTTTAAATTTTTAAATTTCCCGCCGCCAGCGGCGCCCGTATGTCCCGACGTCACAGGGACAGGACACAGAAGCCGGATACCGGCATCGGCCGGAGGAGATGGCCGGGGACGCTGCAGGGGACACATCGCGGGAGTGCAGGGTAAGGCAAGTGAAGAACAAATGCCGGAGCAGTGCCGCATTGTATTCCCGAGTGTAGCTCAGGGTTACCGTTTGTGGTACTGAAATGTTACCCCGAGCTACACTCGGGAATACCGCCAAGGAGGTTAATTGGCTTCTTATGTCTTGGGTACTCCAAACTGAGCTCTCCCCCATAATTCTCATCTCTGTTGCTGTCCACTTGGGAATTTTAGATGTCACCTTTGTGTATCCCATCTCCTTATGTTAAGTTCTCAACAATATAAAATAAAAATATAGCACAGATCGTGGGAACCCCTCATAATGGCCAAAGCAGATGTGCAGACCTATAAACCAGTGCAGAGATATCACCAATAGTCAGTTGCAACAACTGTTAGATGGTTCATCACATCAGCATCTATGAGGATCTGCAGTATCAGTTTTGTATGAATGTATTCTAGAACATGTCTTTTTAAGGATGCAGGATGCATCCAGAAGAAAGCACTGTGCATTTCCACTTCCAGACAGCATGTGTATAACTGACTAAACTAGCTGCTCGGTCTTTGCTAGAAGAGAAGGAAGTGGTGTGTGTCTCCTCTGAATTATTCCGCTATGTTGTGTAATTTGATCTCCTAATATTCAGGCGTGTTTCACAGTGAAGTTATAAAACAAAGATGATGGTCTTGAGATATTCATTGGAAATATTTAATTTTTTTTTCTGAATTAAAAGAAATCATTACAGGAATCAAAAGGAGTTTTACAGGTACCTGCTCCCACTTCCACGGAGTTGTCCTCCCTCCCCGTCTTCTGGGACACGTGACAGGTCCCAGAAGACTGCTGGACCATTCACAAAGCGCAGCGCTTCTCGCGCATGTGCAGTTGGTACCCGGCTGTGAAGCCACAAGCTTTCACAGCTGGGTGCCCACAGTAAAGATGCTGGCGCCGGGGAGAAAAGACGGTGAGGACAGCGCTGGACCGAGGAGCACAAAAGAACTGAGCCATCGGCCCGGTATTCTAACAAGGCGGCGGGAATACCAGGCCAGCCGCTCCATAAGACGCACAGACATTTTCCCCCATTTTTGGGGGGGGAAAAAAATGCATCTTATGAAGCAAAAAATACAATAAGTTATTCTTGAATATCTATATGCAGTAGTAAATATAAATAACCAGCTATATGGTTAGGGAACTAAATATCTAACCCTCTCTAAGAATAACAGAAGAGATATGTATATATTATTAGAAGGTTGAATCTGGTGCATACTATCAGTCTCAGAGATTATAATTGTTATTTAAAAATATAAAAAAAAAAAAACCTAAAACACAGTTTTGCAGATTTTCAGATAGGACTGTGATATAATATTATGCATGACAGACTCCCTTGGCATAGGCAGGTACCTTGATACAAGCTACCTGCTCCTGCTGTCACTTATGCTGGCCATACACAAACAAATTTTTAGTTTGAAAATTTTTGATTTAAGAATGATTTTCTAATCGTTGGCGCGGTCAAATCGATGTTCGTGTTCAGCAACAATGATGGGAAACTTTGAAGGAGCAGAATAGAAAATTTTAATTGGTAATGCCTTATATTACCTCCAGTTTATCAGCTTCTCTGGGTTCAGATGTTGATCTTCCCTACACAGAGCCCTGTACTGAGCTGTATGTGTGCTGCACTGTGTATACTGGCAAGCATGAACGGTGTACTGAGCTGTATGTGTGCTGCAATGTATTTTCTGATACGTAAACAAATAATCCATTCTATGCATGCCAACTAATTGATTATGAAAGTGGTTGACAACTATTTTCCTAATCGATTATGTCAATTAGTTGTTTCAGCCCTAGTGGAAAGTTTGGGGATCTCTTGATACAAAGCCAAGGTCAGGTAGACCAAAAGATTGCAGCCACAAGTGGCTGAAGAATTTTTCAGAATACAATTGCCCGACAACACCTTGACACGCTTCATCAGGCTTTTTTTTGTGGCATTGGTGCAGTAAAGGCTTCTTTCTGACAACTCGACCATATAGCTCATTTTTGTTCAAGTTGTTTGTTTGTTTTTGTATCGTCTTATTGTGCTCCTTAAAACAACCACACCATCTTTTTTCAGAGCAGCCTGTATTTGTCCTGAAGTTACCTGTGGGTTTTTCTTTGTGTCCCGAACAATTCTGCCAGTTGTTGCTGCAATCTTTCTTGGTCTACCTGACCATGGCTTGGTATCAAGAAATCCCTGAGTTTTCCACTTCACAATAAGTGATTGAACAATACTGGCTGGCATATTCAATGCTTTTGATATTTATATTTATATCCTTTCTCAACTCCCACAAGGGGACACAGATGGCAAAAAATAAACCGATGGGTTATAACCCTCCTTTACTCTATCCAAAATGAAAATAAAAGATTTGTCTACAGTTGTACTTTAAAATCAAGTACAGATGCATATAGCATTACATTTAAACATATGTGCAACCAATTAATTGCACATGCAAGTGTACAATCCTAACACACACGTTCCTGTGTTGAATAATGGCTGTGTATATGAATGGGTGCTACAGAGATCGTCGGCTAGAACCGAATAAAATCAACCTGGCACCAAGCACACCAGCACACCAAGGATCTCCAGTATGGGTCCAAAAGCTTTAATGAACGATCACATAGTTACAGTAAGGCAGCGTTTCGCAGTCTCACAGGACCCTTTCATCAGGCATGTTACATGCCTGTCACGTGCCTGATAAAGGGGTCCTACGAGACTCCCGAAACGTTGCCTTGCTGTAACTATGATCGTTCATTAAAGCTTTTGGATCCGTGTCAGAGATCCTTGGTCTGCTGGTGATATTCTCCGTGATTGATTGCACAGAGCAACATTATTAAGTAGTACCCAGCCCCCTGCATTTTCATATACATTGATAGGTAAGAGGGAGATTGTAAGCTAGTAAGGTTGTATTCTCTTTTAGAAATGTATATGATGGGTCTGCAAGATTGACTGTATTAAGAAAAATTATCACAGTGTGGGCAGAAAAAATAAACTGTAAAATGTGTGAGAGTAGAAAACACTTCCAGCTCTTTCTTGTACTCTTGAGATGCGCAGTGCAGTCATTCACAGTGTAACTTAGCTATCAAGAATTAGGAAGAAAATTCTGTGGGGTGAAGTTTGATGTAATCATTGATCAAATCTACTCTCCAGGACCCATTATCCATAGGGTTCAATGTGCACGAAATCAGTGGGACAGAAATCAGTACAACAGAGCTCATATTCCCTCCTGCCCTTGCCCCCTCCCCTGACTTCTCTATCAAGATTAATAGTATAACTATCGGTCCCTCCCCTCATGCCAGAGTACTAGGTTTCATCCTGGAATCTGACCTATCCTTTCAGCCCCAAATAAAATTACTGTCCAAATCTTGTAGACTTCACCTCCATAACATCTCCAAAATATGCAATTGTAACTCCCTCATTATAGGCCTACCTCTTCACAGGCTATCCCCTCTTTAGTCTATCATGAATACTGCTGCCAGTTTCATCCACCTTACCAACTGTTCAGTATCTGCCAGCCCTCTCTGCCAATCCCTCCGCTGGCTTCTCATTGCCCAGCAAATAAAAGTCAGAACATTAACAATAACATACAAAGCCATTTACAATTCTGCCCTGAGCTACATCACCAATCTTGTCTCAGATATCACCCAAACCGTCCTCTCTGCTCCTCCCAAGACCTCCTACTCTCTAGCTCCCTTGTCTCCTCCTCCCATGCTCATCTCCAGGACTTCTCCAGAGCCTCTCCAATCTTCTGGAATGTCCTACCCCAATCTGTCCACTTTTAGGTGTGTTTTTAGTAACCCGTCTCTTCAGGGAAACCAATCCTGCCTTCAGCTAATAACCAAATCTTTTATCTCTCCCATCAATTTATCCCTCACAGTTAGTACCTTTTGTTCCACTAGCCCCTCCCTATTAAACTGCAAGCTGCCGGGGGCAGGGCCCTCCTATATTGGGAAGCGCTGCGCAAACTGTTAGAACTATATAACTCTTGTAGAATACAAATAACAATACTTTCAGTAAGACTCAAAAAGAAGGGATCTTTTTGATGTTGGATCCAGGTCTGAGGCGCAAGAGCAAGGAGCTGCTGGATTACATTACAGATTCTTTATTGTCACGTTACACTCTAGTTTTGGGTGGTCATTCTTTTTACATTTTATACTTCTGCTCTAAGGTAAAGAGAATAAACTGTGATCTACATTGAATAGCTGTGTTTGCTGAATGGCCATCAGCATTTCACTTGCATGACATTTCTGTCAAATCACATGGATTGAAAAGTGTAAGAAGGAATTCTTAAACACACTTCTCTTCTAGGTGCTGCAGTGGTTGTAAGGTTTGGTTTACCGGGGTCGAGTTTGGTCGGTCGAAGCACACGGTTTGGTACTGTGCGAAGTGTCGTGGTAAGATGTTACTTTAAACAAAATAAGAACAATATTCTCTGGTGGGGATGGTGAGATTTTTCCTATAACTACTAAGATTCTCCCTGTCTTCAAACTGGCAGCAGAGAAAAAAAGCAGAATTCCAATTTGTATGCACGATACCTTCAGTTTTCCTTTCATCAGTTTTGATTGACCATAAATGGTGCACCACTCGCCTTGTTTTAAATTGCTTATGACAGATTGAATACCCAAACTTAAAGGACAAGTTCACCTTTTTAAAAAATTATTAAATGCTCATTTTTTTGCAGGTAAAAAAAAATGTGTATTTATAAATTTTTTTTTAATTAGGAGCCTGTAAAGCATTGCATCTGCGATCAGCAGATCTCAGGCTCATGCAGACTTTTAGTGTATCTGTATGTGCGTACCTCGTACAGGCAGGCAGTTACCAAATGACAGAATACATGAACTATCCAGAGCACTCATCAGTGCCCTCATAGTCCATTGAGAACTACAAGTTGTCAGCTTCAATGGCCGACGGTAGTTATAGTTCTTCCATTCACAGAACTCTCATGCAGCTGGGTGGGCGGAACGCCGCACTGCCACTTTTTTTTTTTTTTTAAAGTTGTGACAGTGGGTGTGGGGAGAAGGCTCAGGAGACATGGGGGCTGCTCATTTAGCAACTTGTTACACCCTGGATACGGATGTAACGTTATGAAAGGTGAACTAATCCTTTAAAGCGGAACTAAAGGCCCAAGAGTCCCACACCAGGATCCTTTCCTGAGTGCGGGTCTTTGGGCTTCTTGAATAGCGGGGCAAGACGTGACTCCTGTGCATGCAAAGGGGGTCTTCATCCCAGCCCACAGAGATAAGTCCGGTGCTGTAATATGAGCTGTGCATGTGCAGCTCAATTTATAGTGCCAGAGAAGACCGCAAGCAGAGCTTTTTAGTGCAGAAGGACAGTGCATGTCTCTCAGTGCAATGCAATACAAGCCTGTCTGTTTGCTGTTTTTCTTAAAACAGGACTTCAGTTCTACTTTAATGTGCCTTTATCTGACAGGGAGTGTATGGAGAGCCTCCACACAAAGAGCAAGATTGTATTTCCTTTATCAGACATAATGGTGTAGGCTCCTTCTCTTAGAAGGCTTGGTCTTTATTACAGGTGCAAGGACCTGAACGTCTCAGGATGTTTTTGCAGCCACTTTTAGGGGCATCAGGCGGGGTTTTTTTTTTTTTTTTCTATTTAACAGCTTCCAAACGCCCCTCCATATTATCCTATGTGTCCATGCCTACATAGACTTTTAGAAGCTTTTAGTGGCAGGGGCTTTTAGGAGATGTAAGAAAAAAAACACTCAGTGCATCCAGGAGCAGCAGTAGTTTGGCAGAAAAAAACGCTTGATGCGTGTTAACACTAAGCGCTTGAGCATTAATTCATTTCAGTGGTCAGAATAAATTAACTCCCAAGCGCATGATGCCTGTAAACCCTTGTAAAATCATTAGACACTTTTATAAGGCTCAGATGCTTTTTTTTCTACCGAAGTTCTGCTGCCAAGAGGAGGAGCGTTTTTTTTTTTTTTTTCTTTTTAATCTGTATTATTTTCACATATTAACATAAAAAAACCCAATTACAGACTTGATATATCATCAAACTATCATAAATTACAAAAACTACAACGTAACAGTTCTCCATGTTTTAATTCTGAATCATCAAGATTCATCAAAATATTTACTTTAAAAGCTGGGGGGGATCTGACGAAACTGGTGCTTTTGCAAAAGGCATATTAGCACCTAGAAAAGGGTTAATAACTATTAGGCTGCTTTCAGTTTTGGTGCACTTTCAAATATGCACCACACCCTCAAAATACAATGGACGTCTATGGCAAATCACAGGAAAGCCACGGGTGCAATCGCTGTGTAGGTAAACTAAACCGCAGCGCATCAGTGTGAAAGCAGCCTTATAGAGGGCTCAGGACAGTAAGGGGTTGTTTACATTTGCGGTTTGAAGGGGTGGTAAAACCCCATAATTTTTACCACACACCCCCAACCACTGGTGTAGCGTCAGGGGTCGCAATGGCAACCCTGCCCCATACTCCAGGGGGCCAGTGCAGAATCCCTGTCGCATTCTGTTTTACACTTGCACAGAAGGAGTGACATATACAGGAACTGATTCACTTCATTATCCTCCTGCAACCCCTTAAAGCCGGCTTCTCTTCCTCTCCCTCCTGCCAGCATTCAGCGGCTGCATTAGGAAAATGTTCATTATGCTATTCAAAATAAAAAAAAATTTAAATTCTGAACCATTTAATTTTATTGTGGCCTGCAACTGGTTACCAAATCACTTAAGTGACCCTCACTCTTCAAAAGGTTGAGCACTCCTGCTGTACTGTGTTTTGCAATATTTCCTTCTCTCCATGTATTTTGCAATATTTCCTTCTCTCCATGTATTTTGCAATATTTCTCTCATGTATTTTTTAAATCTCCAGACAAAGCATTTTCTGTGCTGTTTGCAGTCCCCTTGGGATGTGAACCCCTGGATTAATATTTATGGAGCACTCTGTAAACCTATACCAATAATTAAATTGATTTTGCGAATATTAATCCTGAACCTATGGAGAGCTATAATTGCTTGTTCACAAAGTCACATGACATCCTTACCATTACATTATAATGCTGTAAGATAACAGTTTTTTTTCATCTTCATTTTTAGCTAATCGTAGAGCATTCAACAGGGAACAGAAGCTGCTGAAGGTGAGCCTCTTTTTATTGAAATATGTGTTGAAGGTATTTAGTGTCCCAGTACCATCCTCAGTCCTGCCATGTTGTTGGCAGTCAACCAGCCTTACTGCAAAGCCAATCCTTGTGTAGTTCTCAGTCTGATCACAGCACGTTCATTCAGTGCTGTTTTAATATTTTTTTTTGTAGATTCACAGATGATCTTTTCATTTTTTTTTCTGCTATTGCATTTGACTGGTGAAGAAACTGAACTAAGAGTCTCTCTAACAGATCCAAATGTATTTTTTTGGTCTACACAACTTGACTTGGTAAATAGTTGAATAACAATTTTGGGTGGAGCTCCTTTTTAAAACTATAGCGGAAGCCACCTCTGTGACTTCTTAGCCAGCACCTTATTCTGCCAGTAGGGTTTACCTTTTCCTTCTGGGGAACTCCGATGTAAAAAAAACCTTGATCCTAAATGGGCACCCTTTACTTTGGACACAAAGGATCACTGTACCTGTCTATTTGATGCCCAAGCTTTGGTTTTTCTGGCAGTTTTGAGGATGGATTGATAGTTATATATTGTAGACTATGGAGTTTATTCATTTAGAGCAGTATAGTAATAAGTTTTCACAGTGCTACAAAATTGCTGGCACATATTATTGTCTTAAAAAAAAATGTATGATTTTAATATAAAATGACCACTGCACTTTAATAATGTTACATTTTTGTTTAGCAATTCAAAAGTTTTTCTATGTTTTATAAGTTCTAGCTGCTGCCAGAGTGTTTTTAACTAGTTCAGCTTTGAGACTATTTTAGTTTTCATCCCGTTATCATAACGGCTGTCAAATACCACAAACTTTAACCACTTGCCTACAGGGCACTTATACCCCCTTCCTGCCCAGGCCAATTTACAGCTTTCAGCGCTGTCGCATTTTGAATGACAATTGTGCGGTCATGCAACACTGTACCCATATGAAATTTTTATCATTTGTTTATGACAGATAGAGATTTATTTTGGTGGTATTTAATCACCTCTGGGTTTTTTATTTTTTTCTTAAACCAAAAACCACTGAAAATTTTGAAAAAAAAAAAGTTTTTTCTTAGTTTTTGTTATAAAATTTTGTAAATAAGTGGTTTTTCTCCTTCACTGATGTGTGCTAATGAGGCTGCAGTGATAGACACTAATAGGTGGCACTGATGGGCACTGATGAGGAGGCACTGGTAGGTGGCACTGATAGGCATTGACAGGCATCCCTGATGGGCACTGAAAGGCAGCACTGATATATGGCATTGTTAGGTGGCACTGACTGGCATTGTTAGGCGGCACTGACGGGCACTGATGGGCACTGACTGGCACTGATAGGTGGCACTGACTGGCACTGATAGGTGGCACTGACTGGCACTGATGGGTGACACTGAAAGGCGACACTGAAAGGCAGCTCAGATGGGCACTGATATGTGGCATTGATGTGCACTGGTAGGCACCGATATGTGGCATTGATGGGTACTGGCAGGTGGCATGGATGATCACTGAGCGCTGGCACTGATGGACACTGACAGGTGGCACTGCTGGGGCTACACTGATCATCAAGGCACACTGATCACCAGTGCCCTGATGATCAGTGCACATGTCCTCTCTGAGGAATGCCAATTACCAGCTCTTCTCTCCTCACGAGCTGTCAGCGTGACAGCTCATAAGGAGAGAAATGCCAATAACCAGCATTTCTCTGTTTACATGTGATCAGCTGTGATTGGACACAGCTGATGACATCACCGAGCCGGCATCTTCGGCTCTTTCCGTGGATCGGTGATCCGCTGTGTCCGAGGGACACAAGTCACCGTCGATCGCCGCTCTGCGCGCTCCCGGAGCCGTGCATGTGCGGTTAGAATGGGAGGATGTCATATGACATCCTCCCAGAATGAGAGAACAGCCTTGCGCCCGTCATTGGACTATATGGCGGGCGGCAGGTGGTTAAAGTGATTCTAAAGGAAGGATTTCAAATAATTACAAAAGTGTTATACTTACATGCTCTGTGCAATGGTTTTGCACAGAGCATCCCCGATCCTCTTCTTTTTGGGTCCCCCACTGGCACTCCTGGCTCCCAGACCCCCCCCCCCCCCCCCATTGAGTGCCCCAAATAAGCAAGTCTCTTACTATGGGGGCACTCGAGCAGGCTGGCTCCTGAGCCACGTTCCTGTAAATGGTCATTGTCTATTTACACAGAGGGTGTGGATCGGCATCACAACTGCTCTCTCCTCATTGGCTCACTGGCTGTGATTGACAGTAGCGGGAGTCAATGGCTTCCACTGCTGTGTGAGCCAATGAGGAGAAAGCACTCCCTAAGAATGCACATTGCTGGATCTAGATGGGGCTCAGGTATTTATTAGGGGTGCGGGGGCCCTCACCCAGAAGGTTTTTTGTTTTAATGCGTAAAGGTTTAAAAGCTTTGTACCTTAAGAATCACTTTAACTTCTGAGGAGAACAAAGTGGGGATTGCTACTGCCATTGGGTACCCAGAGTCTTCTGCTAGGACTGAGTTTTATTGCCTACATAGTTCTGCCGTGCCTTCTGTGCACTAGACATTCTGCAGCCTGTGATCTCCCCCAATTTTTTTTTTGTTTGCCTTTTAATGCCTCTCTCCTTCTACGGCCTTCTTGTTGGTACCTTGGAGCACATTAAAAAGTGACTGGTGTCAGAAAACCTCATTTCCCACTTTGGATCCCTGTTTTTCACAGATGGTTGCATAGAGCTTGAAGTGAAATTAAAGTTGCCCCTTACTATAGTAGAACTTTTTTTTTTAAGCACTTTATAAGACTTTATTTAGTACAGGCCAACAATTCAATCAGCAGATTACATACTATACCTTCATATCTTTTGCTGTCCACAAGAACTTACATTGCTCAGGCGATGATAATGAAGCTTCTTACTTAGAAGTTTGTTTGAGGAAGCACAGGATAAGGCCTGCATCAATTTCTAAAGTATAAAGTACCTTAAAATAATCCTTAAACAGGAGTTTGGCTTTCATACAATGTTTTGTAGTGTGTGAAATTGGTAAATTATACAGGTGGGAAATCCTGTTAATATCTCCTTCCTAACTTCAGAGCATCGGCTGTGGTAAATGTGCTGCATGCAGTTTGACTGAGAACTGTGGTTCTTGTTCGATATGTCTCCTACGTTCCCACAACCCTGAATTCGGAAGCTCCTGGAAGTGCATGAAAAGGCGCTGTCTGAAGGCTATCCACAAGGTACCATCGCAGCAACTTTTGTGTGACCAGCTTAAGCGCAACCTATTCTTGCCCCCACTTTTGGTGCTGAGCATTCCCAGAAAATGAAAAAAGTTTTCGACAATGCTGAAGGCTTATTTTATCTAAGGTATCTCTTCAAATAGGTATTAGTCGACTCCTGACAAGAGCTTTCATGGTTAACAATGCAGCTCTCCTCATTTCCTGCATTTTCTCTTCTTCTAAGTTGTGCGATTATTTATTTGTATCTTGCAAAGCAGTTGTTTTAACACGAGTATCTCAAAAGTATTCGCATAGAGTGACTCCACTACCCTTCTTTTTCACAGCATTTCTTTACAGCTTTAGTGTAATTCATATGTTACAAACAATAATTGTTTTCATCGTATTGTTCTTGCACAGCCAGGTGACTGTGGAGTGTGCCAGGGCTGTACAGCAACAGAAGACTGTGAGGCTTGTTCTGTGTGTTTAAAGAGGCAACAGAACCCAGATCTGCACATCAGTAGGAAATGTGTGAAACGCAGATGCCACAAAAAAGGTTAGTGTGAGACTGAGGCCATACATTTGTGTTTACACATACCCCCCCCCCCCCCCCCCTCCACTTCCCCATCTTTAAGTTTCATTTTTTAATCATAAAGGGTGCATTGACACCTGCGGATGTACCTGCCCTTTGATTTGGTGCGAGTACCACAGTGGGGTTCTCTTGTATATAATCACTCATGCAGCAATCACATGCGAGTGATCAACCTTGGACACAGACTACCTGTGTCCAGGGCCAATCCTTGGCATGTGATCACTGAAGGAAAGACTACATACAAGTGGCTGCGATTAGCTGTGGGAGCCAGCAGCTTTCCATTGCTCTCAGTTGAACTGCCTTCAACAGCTAATCACAGAACCACTCTGGGGTTCTCACATCTAGTTGGATTGCGAGTGCGTTTGCAGGCGTGAATGCATCCCAACGTGTATAAATCCGTATTTGACCCTGGGGGCAGTAAGGTACCCTTGTCCTCGCAGTGGTCAGCTGAAGATGCACGTTGGAGAGGAGAGGGATGAAATTGGGTTGGTCTCTAATTGTCCTTTCCCAATGGCAGTCTTTGATGGTTAGCTGCTGCTGCCATGAGATTAGCATTCTTAGTATAGCAACTGGAAGGAAGAAAATAGCAGCTAGTCAAATGCTTGCTTTTATTGATTAACTGTGACTTAAAGTGTTGGAATTTACTTACTGTAGCAGATTGGACCCTTGTAATTGCATTTAGAAATTGGATGCCACACCACACCTCTTACCATCTTTTGCATTCATACCTTAGCCTTTCATTGCTGGTTTTCTCTGCTGAATGTGTACAGTGTTCACAATTTGATAGATACTGGCTCTGTTTAAAATTGGCATGTGTCAAACTAAGAATGGGCTGGGCCATAAAATATAATGTTGGTCCTTCTGTTCATATTTCTTCGTGGTCAGATCTGTGCACTGCTTGGTACATGTGCTGGAGGTCAGAACTACAGCAGAAGGTCGAGCAGGGAGTAACTGCATTTTGTTTGTTTTCTAGTAGCCTTTACTGAACCTTCACTGCTGGAAGTTTCATTTTTATAGCAGAGCCTATGTCTATAACAACCCCCCTTTCCCCAGTGCTGTAAAAAAATGCTGCACTACAGAAATTAAAGAAAAAAAAAACGCACTTGTATAGAAAATGGTAATCATTCTTGTCTAAAGGCTGGTATACACAGACTGAATATCGGCCAGGAACTGGCTGACTTTTGCTGCGCGTGTACCGCTATCTGTTCAACAGAAGTTAGTCCTGCTGGAAAACCAGCATTCAATCAATGTTTGTGTATTCTGACTGGGGAAGGGGGGTCCCCATTGTCAGAATACAGTAGTGCAGTGGGGAGAGATCCGTGCATCTACATTACTTGTAACGATGAGAGGGATCTGTGAGTTTGTTTGTGTTCAACCTGCTGGTTGAACAAAAAAAATTACTGTGTATACCCTTCTTTACTCCCAGGCTTTTATTATTATTATTATTATTTATTTTATTATACAGTTTTTATAAAGTGCCAATAGTTCGCTCAGCGCTGTACATTACAAAGGGGGACAGAACATGTGACAGAACAATACCAATACAATGCAAAACATGAGGGGATCGAGGGCCCTGCTCTTTCGAGCTTACAATCTAGGAGGGAGGGGGTGGTGGCACAGGAGGAGATAGCTGTGGGGGATGGAGTGGTAGGAAGAGTGGAGGAGGTCGGCAAGTTAGCAGGGGGTGGGGTAGGCTTCCCTGAAGAGATGGGTTTTCAGGGTGCGCCTAAAGGAGAGGAGAGTAGGTGATAATCTGATGGGTTGGGGCAGGGAGTTCCAGAGGATGGGTGACTCCCTGGAGAAGTCCTGGAGGCGGGCATGGGAGGAGGAGACCAGGGAACTAGAGAGAAGGAGGTCTTGTGAGGAGCGGAGTGTGCGTTGCTGGGTGGTACTTGGATATTAGGTCAGTGATGATGTAGTTCGGGGGCAGTATGGTGGACAGCTTTGTACGTCAGCGTTAGGATTTTGAATTTGATCCGTTGCGCAATCGGAAGCCAGTGGAGGGATTGGCAGAGGGGGGGTGGCGGAGACAGAGCGGTTGGAAAGGTGAATGAGTCTGGCAGCCGTATTCAGGATCGACTGAAGCGGGGATAGCCAGCGGCGAGGGCAGGCCAGTGAGGAGGGAGTTGCAGTAGTCGAGTCGTGATATGATGAGGGAGTGGGATGAGCTGTTTAGTGGTTTCTGGGGTTAGGAACGTGCGTATTTTGGCGATGTTGCGGAGGTGGAGTCTGCACGAGTTTGTTAAAGATTGGACTTGGGGCTGGAAGGATAGGTTGGAGTCCAGAATGACACCCAGTACTCTGGCCTGCAGGGCGGGTTTGATGGTAGCGTTGTTGGATGTAACGGAGAAATCAATGGGGGGTGGTGTCCGGGCTGGGGGGGAAGACAAGAAACTCGGTTTTGGAGAGGTTCAATTTAAGGAAGTGGAGCGACATCCAGTCTGATATGTCGCTCAGTAGGTGTGTGATTCGGGCTGAGACCAAGGGGGTGAGGTGGGGGGTTGAGAGATAGATTTGTGTGTCGTCGGCATAGAGGTGGTAGTTGAAGCCGTGAGAGTGTATGAGTTGGCCAAGGGAGGAGGTATAGATGGAGAAGAGAAGGGGCCCAAGGACAGAGCCTTGAGGGACCCCAACAGAGAGGGGGAGTGAGGGGGAGGTGGTAGCATTATAGGTAACGCTGAAGGAGCGTTGTGACAGGTAGGATGAGAGCCAGGAGAGAGCAGAATCTCTGAGGCCGAGGGAGTGTAGTTTTTTGAGGAGGAGGGGGTGGTCGACTGTGTCAAAGGCCGCAGAGAGGTCAAGGAGTAGGAGCACTGAATAGTGGCCATTAGCTTTGGCAGTTAGCAGGTCGTTGGAGAGTTTGAGTAAGGCGGTTTCGGTGGAGTGTAGGGGGACGGAAGCCGGACTGTAGGGGATCGAGGAGGTTGTTGTCGTTGAGGTGAGAGCATAGGCGGGTGTAGACTAGGCGCTCGAGGAGTTTAGATGTAAATGGGAGCAGGGAGAGGATGGGTCTGAGGTTGTGTTCGGGTCATTTAGGCCAGGTTGCCTAAGTTAGGTAACATCAGTGGGTGATCGACTTTTAGAATCTAGGAAAGGATGAGGATCTCAAATTCATCTACAATGCTTTAGCATCCATTCTGGGGTCTTGGCTTTTTCAAGGTCCTTCTGTGAGGCCCAGTGACATAAGCAACAGGGAACAAGAAGTGACCAGAAATGAGGTGATGTTATTGGTAACAAGCAGTGAGGGGCAGTCACGTTTGTGGGCTTTGCATTTTAGTGCAAAGGTTCTGTTGTTAGTACTTTTTTCATGTAAACCTTGCAATTTATTTTTTAATTATCACTGAGAATAAGATAACAAATGCTTTCCATGTGCTCATAACTTTTGTTTGATTTTTTTTTTTTTATTTTATTTCATACATTTAAGGTCTAATTACATTGGTCTGTTCTCTAGAAACTATTGCTGTTGACGTTTTTCCTATTGTGTTTGTAGAAATCACGGACCAAACCAGAAGTAATTAAAGATTTTGCTACCAAGAAATTAAAAACAGTAAGTAAGACTTATAGTGGTTTGGATGATCTAATGGGTAGGGCAGAAATTTATTTAAAAATACATCTGGTAAATACAGAAGGCTTACATCCTCTAGTGTGTGTGTGTTTTGTATGGAGAGAGATTTCCTTCCACTTAATTACCATGACCAAAAACAAGTTAAAGCTTTGTTGGTCCTTTCCTGCTAAATACAATAAGGTATGGGATAGATGCAGGGGGGGCGGACTGACAACTCATGGGGCCCCTGTGTCATTGCCCAAACTCAAAAAAGCCTATGAAAAAGGTACCAGGGGCATCTCATGGGGCCCCCTACTGACCTCGGGCCCTCAGGCAGTGCCCCGAGTTTCCAAATGGTCAGTCCGCCCCTGGATAGATGGTTGACACTACCTGCCTCATGTATTTTAGGTGTTTCTCTCCTTTCATGCCATTGGGTTCCTTTATTTGATTGCTAGACCTGATGATGCATCTGGCTCTCAATAAGTTTGTTTTTTGAATGTGAAAAGCTTTCGTTGTCCAATAGATCAAAATACAAGAAGAAGAGTGCCAGACAAGTCTAGGAGGTCCTGATATACTGTCCACAGTGTCTGTTTTAAATCCATTGTGTTTCAGGATCTGAAGGTCCCCTTAATTAGGGCTACAATAGACCAAATATGCCTTGTATCAGCAAAATCTAGTAACCTAGTTTAAACGGCAATGTAAGATCGTTGACTGAAGGAAAACAGGTTGATGTAGGGATATCAAGAAATATTGTGCCGGGGACATCAGTAGGAATTGAGAGTTATTATATGCACAGCTTAATTGGTAATTAAAAATAGGAATTCAAATCATATTAAATATGAATACCACCCATTTTAACCATGTACACCTTGTAGTTCGTGTGTAACATAATGCAAATGGAACACCCCAACTCTTAGACCACACTGTGGCACCAATCATTCACAGAACTCTGCCAATGAATGAACTACAAGTCCTGCCTGCCACTGCAGCAGATGGGACAATTAGGTCTTAGTGGAACACAAGTGCTGTAATCATTCCACTTGAAGTCCATTGACACTTCCCAGTTCTCCAACTAAAAGACCTTAACCTCGTTACAGACAGAGACCTGGAGGGAAAAGTGAGCAGGAGCTGGCTTTACACCCCACAATCTACTGAATGCGGGTGCAATGCTTTGGAGACTCCTATACAAATAAATAACAGTTGCACATTGGGCTTTTTCTTTTTTCTAAAGGTGGACTTGGCCTTTCAAAGGTACGACCTTCACCCGTATTTAAAAAAAATCTGTTTTGTTAGGTAAAATCATTTAAAGACAGCTGTTTTTAAAAACATACATGAGATTTTTTAATAGACATGTAAGGACAATAATTTAAACACACGTTTTAAAGAATGTTCAGAGTGAACCTGTGCCAGGGCTAGATGCACATTAAAGCATTTACCTATTCTGGACAAGCCCTGGGAAACACTTTCAAACAAGCTCCCAATCACCTCTGTAGCTGTATGAATTGTAAGGAAATGTTTCTTCAAAGTTCACATCAGGGACATTGATTATTATAGCTCAGTTTATTTTCTCTGAACAGCAAGGACTGTTGACAGCCTGCCAGTCTTCTAATTTAAACAAAAAGCAGATGCATTGTAAGCCTGATAGGGGTCTTTTATCACGCAAGCGCTTTAAGGGTCTAGTTTCACACTAGGTGCAAGTTTCGAATGTGGCTTTTTTTCTGCATGCAAAAATGCATGCACAGTGTTTTACATGTATTCCAATTGGCCTAGTTTCACACTAGTGCAGTCAGTTTCCTCCGGTGCAGAAAAAAAGTAGAACATGCTGCATTATTTCTCATTTAGCCTTCGCAAAAGAATTAAAAATACAAAAATATCTAATTGGGCATTTTAGGAGCGTTAACTGATGTGACATCTGTCTGAACATTCAAAACACTTATTAACACTCTAGGAGTTCATTAATGCACATATAAAGACTTGCTGCTAGAATTCATGTCTGTGTGTGAAAGAGCTCCACGAAAACCCCACTGATCCCCCTGATTATATTTCACTTCACTGTCTACGGCTACATAGGTCTGGTATGGTTTCGAGCTTTGCTTGTAATGCTTTTGCATTTTGTTAAGGATATGCAAGTAAGTTTACAGCGTATTTATATCCACATTTATTAAAAATGTTGTTTTAAAAACAGAGTTGGGAAGGATTAACACACCTGTCCGGTTTTCCCACTGTAATTGGAGCTTCATTCTGAGAGCGTTTCCTTCACTTCCTATCTGTGTAAAGAGATTATCTCCAGGAAGTGAGGGGAAATCTCGAACACAACCTTGGAGAGCATAAAACCTAACAGGACATAAGCTTCTACATTCTATTCACCAACTAAAAGGAAACAAAAGTTTTGATTAAATAATACTTTCACGTTTGAATGTATATATGTAATGTACAATAAATATACATTTCTTACAGTTTACTTTCAATACTGACATTGTGGAATAGGATTTTGTTTCTTTGTCTGTCTTGGTTCCCTTGTACAAAAAAATCCTTATCTGCCTGTTTAGTCACCATTTCAAAAACATCGTGCCTCCAACATCCTTATCTGTTATAGAAATTGGAGATAATGTCAGAACGGGCACGGGAGCAGTGTCTCCCGCTAAGCAGAAGGTTAGTGAAACTTCTCTGTACTACCTTTGTCTGACTTGGGTAGTTTTTCCCTTTTTACTATTAAGCTTACTATCATATAGTCCAAGCTGTACAGCTTGGGTGTATTTAGGACTTTGTCTAGACCCTGTATAGTGAGGAATTTGTCTGTCTGGCTGTCCAATCTCTAATCTTTGAAGGCCACTGATTAGAGGCTTTTGGACTTCATTTTGTCCCATTATGAACACCATGTTTTTGCGATTATAGAGATTTTTTTTTGTTGGATCTTAAAGTGGGAAATCCCATTCAGTAGTTGGGCAGTCCCCTGAATAGCCATCACTATCAGCAAATTTGGGACACAGGAGCTGCATTTTTTTTTTCTTATCTTAAAAAGCCAACATTCTCTTGTACAAGGTGTCAGAATTGGAGCTCCTGGGCATGTTCCCTGACACATGCCAAACACCCTAGGAGTCCAAGGGTCGGAAAGTAGAGGAGTCAAATGGGCTCAGCTGGTGTTGAAGCTATAGCATGATGAATTTAATGTGAATTGCAGCTTTCTATTTGGACCTTAAAATCCTCTTCCCCGGGAAAACAATGGGTACAAAATTTGCGATCACCAGATGTAGTGTAGATAACTCCTAAATCATCTTGTGGATAAAAAAGTTCTTGCAACTTTGAATGAAAAATGCATAGCCCAGCAGCTTTATATAAAATTATGCATATCATTTCAGGAAACATACAGCAGTTGTGTTTAGCTTTACCATGTTTTTTCTAATATAAAATATATATTTAAATGGTATGTATGTTTTTATACCATTTTAAAAAACTGGCATGCATAGTGTTACGCTCCCTAACCCACTGAACACAATTCACTTTAAAAAAAAGTCCAAAACACCACTCTGTTGTGGTATGTAATTTAAATTTAGATTCTTCTCACATTGGTAAAAGAAGAAACTGTTCAAGCAAGTATTGTGCAGTTGCCCGCTTGCTTTAGAAGTTGCACAGTCACATAACCACCAGAGCTGTTTGTGTGGTTGTCAGCTCAATTGACAGCTCTGGATCTTGTAGTTTTGGGCAGTGTGGTTTTAAGAAATTTGACATAAAAGTGAATAAAAAAAAAAAAAAAATAAAGGTTCTCTTTAAAAGCAGCAACCCTAATCAATATCCAGTCACCAATGGGAGGGACGCGAAGAAGAAGCCTTGTGAAATGTTTGATTTCTAGTATGAAGTCTTTAAAGTTGGCCCAGACCAAGCTTATCCTTTATGGCTGAGGAAGCTACCAATCTTTAGCCTTTGTTTAGATCTGCACACTTACCATGGTGCTGTATGTGTGATCAGCTATGACACCAGCCATTTGAGACCTGAAAGTTCAGTTGCGAGAGCACAATAGCAACTGTAACTGTTATTGCCAGAGGCATACCTTGAAGTAACAGCTTTGAGGGAAACCAATTAAATCAGTAGGTTTATTAGTTAACGTTTTAAAAACATATAATTTTTTTTTTTTATGTGAACATATTCATGAATGTTCAATAATTTTGGAAAAAAGTGTCCTCGTAAGTTGCATTAAGCTGATTAGTGGGGGGTCACGTGTAGAATGAAAGTGGATAAACAACCTTTTATTTCATGTGCATATTATTATTCTTAATTATACAGTATTTAAATAGGAGCCAAAGGGTATTCTACAGCGCTGTAGTACAGTAGCAAGGGGGACAGAACATGAGACAAGACAGCAACAATACACTCTCACGAGGGGTTTCGAGGGCCCTGGACTCTTTCGAGCTTACAAATCTAGGAATCTTTATTACAAAGTTTTCCCTTTACAATTGGAAGGAAGGTGGCCCTCAAGGATGGAATTGGATAGCCCTGCTATGTTTCTCTTCTAAACTGCATGCATGGGTAGTGCATTGTAGATCTCGGTCTGGTGTCTAACCAGCTTAAAGATACTGTCCACCTTGGGGCTAAGTGGACTGTGCCTTTGTAAGGGGCCCACTTGCACGATTTTCTAATTTGCCTTACCACACTTCTGCTTGCCATCGACAATACTCATATGCTCCCAGGGTATGAGGGTAGCACAAGATCTCTTTCCATGCGTTTGTGCTCCTTTTGAGCCTGTAAGAGAGCACTTGCTAAAGGGGAATAAGCTGTGACAAGGGGCCTTGGCTGTTCTCTGGCCTATCCTGTTGATGTTGTGATTGACTTATTATTCTAGTTGTATTTTTTGGGTTGTTTGTATCATCTAGCAGAAAATAACATCCTATTATTTTTTTTGGGCTGTGTGATAACTTACTCCTATTCTTTGTTATGCTGTTTGACTTGTAGTTGCTGAGCTTCCAGTATGCTTACCATATTACAAAATCTTTGTCCGTGTTCTGCTGCATCCATTTACTCCATTGGTTAACTGTCTGCAGAACCTTGACCTGTATTTTACCATGCTTGCATTTAATTACAGAGAATCTATTTCTACTTGTAGA